GCTGGTTCAAGACTGGCAGGAGCCTGTGACTGCACTCCCCCTCTGCGGTGATCAGCTAGAAGTAGTTGAGAGTTTTACGTACCTCGGGAGTTTGATCGCAGCCGGTGGTGGTGTTGGGGAGGTGATCACATTACGAATGGCGAAAGCTAGAGCAGCTTTCGCCAACCTGTGACATATGTGGTGCCGCCCCGACATCCTATTATCCCTTAAGGGAAGGGTGCACATCGTCGCAGTTCGTAGCGCTTTGCTTTACGGTTGCCTCTCCGCGTCGAGGATGCTAATCGACTTTCCGTATTCGACCACCGATGTCTCCGNGTCTCCGAAGCATTGCTCGTGTCTGGTGGGAACATCGTGTGAGCAATGGCAAGGTTCATCGTTGTGTGTTGCGTGTGGATAGTCGTCCTCTAACAGAAGTAATCGCTCTACACCGCGTCGGATGGCTTGGTCAGGTATCGCATATGCCTTCTCATCGACTACCTTTCCGTGCTCTCTTTGCACGGGCCGGGCAAGGCTGGAACAAACTTCGCGGCGGTCAAACCATGACATGGCATAGAGGTATGAAGAAGCTGGCTTCAGCTCTCGCTTCGGTTAGTGCAGCCCGCCTCCCAGGTTGGGGCCCAAGGGATGAGGATTATCGTTGGTTAGGGACGCTGAGAGATATGGCACGGCACAGAAGTTAGTGGCGCGAATGCTGTACGGTTGCCTGTTCGAAATCCCGTGCCCCATAAGAAAAAAGAAAAACTAACAAAAAAATTCAAAAATGTACGGTGAAACACAAAAAAATTGTCATTCCATTTATTTGCTATTTCCTATTTTAACAGTTCCACCTTTTTCCTATGCTCTGTGTCCCAACCTCCCCTGCTGTATTGCTATTGTTATTATTGTTTTGGCGTGGGCACCATGCTTGTCAGCAAGCCCGTGTTAAATATATATATATACACATATACATATATTATCGCCAATGGAGCATGCACATTAAAATACCTCTTCAAACAATACCATACAAGTCAGTGCGGAAACGAAATCAGCGCAACAAACGTTGCGATAAAAAAGTTTTGAGGAAGTCAGCTTCTAGATTCTCCGTTTCTATTTAACTCTTTAAACGGTCCCATCTTCGTAAGAAGATAGCGGCATCGATTTGCATTCAGGTGGTAGACTGTTCAATCTGGAGTACGCTGACGACATTGTGCTGCTAAGTGAAAATCCAGGTAAGTTGAAAGCTTTTCTAGATAGTTTGAGTTTTAATGTAACCCTGTGAAGTATGCGTTTGGCACCCTCAAAGAGTAAAATGCCGCTAAAAGATTGGGTTTACCCAGTCCCCAACTTCACTGTAATTGGGAAGTAATAGAGAAAGTAGACAAATTTTGCTATATTGGCAGCTATATCTCACCAGACGGACGCGTCACAGATGAAGTGTCGGTACGCATCCGTTTGCCGAAGTTAGACATCTGCGGCGCCGTCGAGATATCTTGCTGTCTGCGAAGGGTCAAGTGTGTTACAGCAGTTAGGCCAGTCCTGCTCTACGGGGCAGAGACTTAGCGATTACGGAAGCAGGATAAAAACAGATTTTTGTTTTTCAAACATCGCTGTCTACGCCACAGTTCACAAGTCTGGTGGGGAAACCGGACAAGCAATGCTGAGGTTAGACGGACAGTTTCAGGTAATCGCGTTTGTCCACTGGAATAAATGGTCAACCTCCATAGACTGCTGTTTGGGACATGTGTTGCACATGTCACCTAATAGGTTGCTACAGCACGCAATGTTTGACGAGGCAGGAAGCGGATGGAATAGGTCAAAGGCGGTCAAACTAAGACCCAGTATGAAAACACTAACCTGGACACTGGGTCGTATGGGTACCGTTAAGCTCCCTGGATGGGAACCCCGAGATCATGGTAACCGC